AGGCATCCAACCATGGATATGGCTACGAAACTTTGTCACTGGATTACGAGTGGTAGATGGCATTGACAGGCCATTAAAGATTTATTGTGACAATAACTCGACGGTGCTTTACTCCAAAAACAATAGGAGTTCGACAAAGTCGAAATTCATTGATATCAAGTTTCTAGTTGTTAAGGAGAGAGTTCAAGATAAACAGATTTCCATAGAACATATAGGAACAAATTCCATGCTAGCGGACCCACTAACCAAGGGCTTAACGCCGAAGGTCTTTCATGAGCACACTGCTCACATGGGCGTTATTTCCAAGGATATTCTAGTCTAGTGGGAGTCAATTTTACGTTCTATATGTTTGCTTTAGACATTAAATTATTTAACCTTCTGCAGAATAAAGTTGATGGTCTATGATTCTATTTCTGAGTTTGCTTGTGTTTTCATTGTGCAATGTTTGCATTGCATTAAGGACTTTGGAATGATCTCACTAAAGACTAAAGAAGGACCAGTTGGAAATAGGCATGTTTGAGATCACATTTCATGTAAATTTTCATGCTACTCATCCATATTTGATCTATGTCATTAAGTGTATTAATATGTTGATGATCGTGGTTTAATCACTAATGTATTGTGATGAAAGTTGCGGTGGTTCCATTATTAGTATATGAGATGGACAAGATTGTTTAAGGAGCAGTCTAATGATAAATAGCATACAAATGCAATATAATTGTTTAAGGAATAATATGTAGCCAAGTGGGAGATTATTAGAAAAACACGATTTTCCTAAATTAATATTGGCAACATATTAATACAATTATATTAGCTATTTAATATAATGGGCAAAAATCAAGTGGTCTATTTTTTGTATACCCATAGACTACTCAAATTAATATGGACTAAGTGAGTAGATACCGGCTAATATTACTCTAATTAAGGGATAATGGGAACCTTAATTAAGTAGTATATAAAGGTTATTTTGGTTATGGTCCCCAATATACCAAATCATACACTCTTTTCCCTTCTCCCCATCAAGAAGAGAAATCACGGTCCCATTGAGGAATAAGGAGATTTGGTTGAGGAAGATCACAAAACCACCCTCTTCATTTGCATTCATCGGTATGTAGTCGATTGTCGCAGTAATTCCACAACAGTAGGCAATCGTTTACAATGGATACAGGTATATTATCTGAATCTGTGAATCCTAGTAATTTAGCATGATGTTGATCCTAGGATTTAATTTATATTTGGATCTAATTTGATTTTCTATCATCATGAATTATGGGGAGGAACGCCTTTCATTATATATTTATGAACTTATCTCTTCAGCGCCATTGTCAGTAATATTAATATATCCATGTAAGAAATGAGAACTTAGTCTTCGGATTTTTTTATTTATTATTATTTTTTTTTCCGTGAATTGATTGTAATGTGAAGAGGTGGACAAGTCTATTGTTTGTTTATGTGTCATTATTATGTACTTACGAAACTATTTCTTCAGCGTCATCACCATCTATATGTCTATGTGAGAAGTGAGAACTTAGTGTGTGCTTCTTTTTTTTTCTTTTTCTTTTTTTTTTTTTTTGTATATTTTTCGTTGAAATAATTGTAATATGAAGTGGTGGACCAGTCTATTGTTAGTTTATGCGTCAGCATTATGTATTTATGAACTTATTTCTTCAGCGTCGAAGGTAGATAACTAAGTGAGGAGTGAGAATATATATATATAGGGTTTGGAGTCAGAATAAACTTATCAAAAAACTGTTTGACACACTGGAAAAAGGTCAATAGCAACAACCATCCAGGTGCTGACACACAACACCTGGATTCAAACCCTGGATTTAAAACCTGGCAGACCAACTTTACTGTATATATATATGTATATATATATATATATTCCATGCATTTCGGGGACCAAATGTTTTTACATTTTAGTGGCAATATAACCACCATTTATTTATATATATAACTTTTCTAGATAAATTTTTTTTTTTTTTATTTTTCAATTCGTTTGAGTGCAAGACACATGCAGAATTCATGGCAATTAGACTCATTGGGTTAAAATTATATGACTTTTTAAGCACAAGATGGGTATATAGCTAAGGAAGTTATTGCCAAGAAATTATGACGATCACTTGTGCATCTTCGTTAGGAGGACAATATCATTTGTGACATCAAGAAGCATCCACAATGTTTCGATCGCGAGCATAAGTTCTCTAATGTCACCAAACGAATTTTTATTCCTTTTGCATATTTTTTTATAAGTTAAAATGTCATTTTATTTTTTTATTTTACAAGTATAAATTTTTAATTTCTATTACTTTATTTATTGACAAAATTTTTAATCGTTTTTTAGCATTCTTTTTGTTTCATTTAGCTTTTAATTACTACTTTTATCTACACCTGAAAGAAAGAGCAAGTGGAATTAAAGAAAATTAGTCATTAATCTTAAGTTTGTTAAACCTAAAATTTTATCTTCACATGTGGATATGGATACATTGTGTTCATACACAGTTTCTACTGAGCTCTATCCATAGCAAATTTTGTGTAGTTACGATTATTGTCAGTGTAGCAACGGAGAAGATGAATACGAAGGGTAGGAATTGGTTGTGTTTTTTTATTTTTACCTTTTTACTGGTATCTATATTTACAAGGTGAAATGAAATATCAGGAGTTTTTATTTTTTTAGAAAAAAAAGAGTTTGATTAGTACTTTATGTTTCCGTCAATGTTGAAAAAAGGTAATTAAATAAAGGCTAAAATAAAATTTGCTTGCTACAGAATAAATTCTTTAAAACAAAGAGCATCTTACCATATGTTTGAAGTATCTTTTAAATAATTTCGCCTTCGTTCACTATCAAGTATATGTTTTCCTAACGCATGTGTTTTGTTTTTAAAGAGTCTTTTGGAGAGAATAATAATATTATCTAATAAAAGTAATACTATAACACAAGTTTAGTAACATTACGTGATAAATTTAATTAAATATAGAATTATATGGCTCATTCAATAGTACATCACATTTAATGTCACTTAACCCATATTTAGTGGGAATTAGAATCGTTTTTTAGTAGATTTTAATAAAAAATTAAATGCGTGGTTGAAAGGTTATGAGTATCATAAAATGTGTGGTTAAAATAAATTGTTGACTTTGACTTAATATAAAATCTAGATTTTAATTTCTACCAAACAAGGTTTAGTGTTATTTAAAATGTTGTTGTTTATATCAATAACACTGAAAAAGTGTTATTCTTTTGGAAAAAAACTTATAACTTATATTATATCTTTTTCCGTCTAGCCGTTAGACGAGAAAAAGCACTTATTATAACCGATTCGATCCAATTCGATTCCTAATTCCTAACCTAGAATCGTGGGTATCTGAGTGAAACCGATTTTCATAAAATACAATGTATAGTTGGATAAACAAATATAAAACTTAAAAATCCCTATTTTGGTGATAATTAGTTTAAAAATCTAGATTCTAATCATAAGAAATCAAAACTTGCTCCTATTTTTTTTCATCTTTCCTTACATTAGATTGTTGCATTTACCTACGACTTTTCCCATGCAATTTGCAATACTTGAATGATCAATTTTTATTTTTTTTTTGGTCCAAAGTTATTACATGTTAATCTTTATAATTTGAACTTTTTTATGGGGTAAGTTGATAAATAAAAGCGCTCATCTTCTGCAATTCAACTTTTTACTTTTTTGCATTGTTTACAAACTTAAGAGACTTTTAATTTTTTAAAATACATGGGGATTGAACTTATTCATTGATTGGGTTGTGATATACCTTTTTTGTTATCTTGAGTTCATGATTCTCTTTTTAAATAAAATTTTATTCTTTTTTTATTATTCAAATAGAGCGAGTTCAATATGTAGATTGTAATTTCTTGATGCTATATAGTGATGTACCTAATTAGTATTTATTATGTCGGTTCGTTTTAAGAATAGAAGAATTTATACATTATTCATAATTAAATTATATACTTTACTATGCCACGTTTATGAATCAAATAAGATTTATTAAGAAAAAACAATTTATTCTAAAACTATAATTTGATCTTTGATGTTTGAATTTTCTCCTATTCTTGTTGTTTTTAGTTTCCACTATTTTGCTTCTTGAAAATTTCGTAGCTGAATTTTCTCTCTTACACAAACATTTTTGAGTAGTAGCGTGTCGGATATATGAACTGAAATGGCATATACAAATGTTTGTTAAGCCACCGTTTGGTGAAAATTAAAATTTAAATTTAAATTTGAGTCAAAGTCAATAATTAATTTTAACCATATTTTCATAAGACTCACAATTTTTCAACCATCCCCCTCATCAACTTTTATTAAAATCTATTAAAAATTTAATTTTAATTCTTACCAAAGAGGGCAAAATATATTTAAAAAATTTTATGGGTAGAACCAAAATTGAATCGGATTTGAGTTTGGTTCCACTATTTTACAAGGATCCAAGTGATTCAATTTACGTTGAAATGCTTGGACCAACCCACTTGACCCTTAGACATATGTTGTAATATCGTCTACATATTTTAATTTGACTTCTGTATATATGTTTTAGGTTTCGGATGTAAGATAATAATTTTATTATTATAACTTGAATGAGAATGTCATATCATAAAATGCTTTTAAACTCTAGTAATTTGAAATATTGAAATTATAATCCTAATTTATGTGACGTTAATATAACATTAAATGATGAGTGAAAAGATTATTCTACTGGTATATCAAATATTACATCAAGGATTATATAATGTATAAGTGACATTACGTAAGTAGTTGGAGGAAATTTGAAAATGGATAATTTAATTTTACATTTTATTTAATCTATCGCTTAACACTGTATCATATTTGAAAACTCAGCTACAGGGGCGGGACGACACTGTATCATATTTGAAAACTCAGCTACAGGGCGGGACGGTGGGGCCCAAAAAAGTTGGGGTTCAACAGTAACAACCAATCAGCTACCGCCGGCAGAAACCACGCACCAGCTGACGTCGATCCGATGATGATTTAGAATGTAGGTATTTATATATAAAAACAAAAGCACCCATCAATCCAGAATTTGCAATCGCTCGTTCTCCGATAATGGTAACCTTTTCTAACTTAGTTTTAGCTTTAATTCTGTGTTAATGGAATTTGACATTTTGTAATTATATTTAGGCAAGTGGAACTGGTGAGGTTTCAAAGAAGCTGAAGCTCTATTCCTATTGGCGGAGCTCTTGTTCTTGCCGCGTTCGAATCGCTCTCAAATTAAAAGGTCTCGAGTTTTTCTTCATTAATTTGAATTCTCGATTTGTTTTTGCTTAATTTATTGAAATTATTTTTATTAATTTTTTTTGATGATTAATGAAACAAATACAACATGAAATTGAATAAACAGGGCTAGATTATGAGTATATTGCAATTAACTTGCTCAAAGGGGACCAGAAATCTCCAGGTTTGACGCTTTCTCATCTCCACACCCCCCCCCCCCCCCCCCTTTTTTTTCTTCCTTTTCAATTATGTATAAATGTTGACATAACCATGTTATCTGTATTACTAAGTTATATGTAGCTTCGGTTGATTATCATCATATGATTTTATTTTTTTAACACTTTTCTACTTGTCGGGATTGTAGAGTTTTTGAAGCTTAATCCACTTGGATATGTGCCAGTACTTGTGGATGGTGACTTTGTAGTTGCAGACTCTTTTGCTATATTACTGGTGAATTTCTTCATTGATTATGGCAGTATAGAATTGTTTAATGGTGAATTCGGTATAATTCAACCTTACTATGAAAAGATATTGTTGTTGACTGGATACCACAATTGTGCAGTATCTAGAAGAGAAGTATCCTCAGCATCCATTGTTGCCAAAAGATCTTCAGAAAAGGGCTCTCAATTACCAGGTGAACAATTGCTGGTTAAATATCTCTGTTTGGGAATTATGTTATTAGGTTTAAAGAAGTACACTTGTTCTATCAATAACTATTTTTGTTTTCCAATGAACTCTTTGGATCGATATATCTTGCCCCTTCAGGCATTACCTAGCAAAGGTTAATTAATGTAAGATAAAAGTGGTTCAACATGATTCAACTTATGACTCTTCCCCAGTTATCTTAGGAGACAATTTCGTCTCTTCTGCATCATGTCTAGGAACTAATGTGCTAATGATTCACTAACCTTTTTCTAAAATATTAGGATCGGATTATTTTGTTAATTCAAAAAATGTTCATAGAAACATTTATTTTCTCTTTTGATTGAAATTATAAAAACTAGAAGAAGATGTGAGGATTAATCTACTTGGTTATACAATTTTAAAGAGCACACATAGCATAAACTTGTGGTGAACTTTCTAACTATATGCACATATTAAATATTACTGTGCTGGTTTAGAGGAATGGGGGGAGCGAATAGGGAAAATCTTGACATGTACTACTAAAAGTACGCAAACAATAACTAATTTTGGTAGTTCTAATAGATTTGTTCTTTATGTGGTGGAGAATGTGCTTGAGGACATTGAATAAACTAATGACCTGAAAAATTTACTGCCAATTTCATCTTCTAAATAAATCGTATGCAATTATTTACCTTTTCTTCTTAGGTTTTTGAATCTAACTTTGATTCTTCATGTTTTACTAATTGCAGGCTGCAAATTTGATTTCTGCAAACATACAACCTCTCCGGAATTTACTTGTCCTCGTGAGCATTAAATTGCCCTTTTGATGTAAATTTCATGTTCCTCACTGTAAAATTTCCAAATTACATGTGAGCATGATATGTTTTAATCATCATATATTGCATATTTAATTGATTTTTTAATGTGCAGGGCTATATTCAAGAAAAACTTGGTCCTGACGAGAAAATTCCTTGGGGTCAAACTCATATACGAAAAGGCTTTGCTGGTAAGCATTGACCTTGGTACCCTTTCTTTGAAGAAAGAAAAGAAATGTCAGGAGGAGAAACCATTGCTAGTAGAAGTGCTATGCAATTTCATTTAGACGTACAGATAATTTGATTACAGACTCATAACAGTAACAATTTGATTGCATTGTTGAATAATATCAAGCTTAAGTAATTTCTGACACCAGGGTTCCTCGTCTACTTCGTGCATTGATCTTATTTAATGTTTGGATTTAAATTCATATCATGTACTGCAGGAGAAGCACAATTGACTTTGAGCAATAGATTTCCTTAGCCCGTTAGTCAAAATATGTTAAAAAATATGCTATTTTCTATGGCATGCCTTGCATAAAATCTTAATTCATTGGGTTTTCCAACTCTCATATTCTATACATTTGCTTCACCCTGATTTGGTCCTCTCTCTGTACACCGTTATGATTATAGCCTACCTGCCGGTGGCTGCTGAATTTGTGTTATTCTAGAATAAACATGATCTGCTGTGACAAAATAAATTAATTCTTAATAATGTAAATAGTTAATTTATATATAATCCAGTTACTCTTTCAATTTTTAGCATCCAAAGACTTGTTACTATGGAGACACCAGTTGTTCTATGCCACCATTATAGCTTTAGATTCACCACTAATTAAAAATTAAGTCAAATTGAGTGAATTATCAGATGGACTCAATTCTCTCTTTTCAGCAGTTATTAGATATCAAACAAACCTCCCTAGAAGGTTATTTTAATGTAACCAATTTCTCTCTTTTACAATCAATTTCTCTGCAACACCGCTTATGTTAACTAATTGTCCATCCTTTCCAAGTGTGATTTATATGTTATGTATGGCTGTGCCTAAGGGCATTTTAGTTGAAGTAGATCTATTTGATCAATCAAAACCACGATTACTCCTTTGACTCTGCATTCCTTAATTGTTGAAATTTTGTGCTATTTTTGAAATGTTTTGTTTATACATGGAATTGATGCTCAAGTTGATTAGCACATGTAACTAGGACAAGTCATACTTGTAGAGTTGACTGACAACACGTTCTGCCAGCATGACAAAGTAATTATTCTTCACTCAAGTTTGGAAGAAGTGGTTGTTTTGTGAGTGTTATTAGGCCTTCCATCATCCGTGTGAGTAGTGGGAAAAAAAAAAAAGAGAAGCGGTTTGCTTAGCTGACAAGGAAATAAGTGTTTTGAGTTGAGAAGTCACTGGTAAATCTAATATCAATTCAGTTGTAATTTGTGCTTGTGCCACCTACTCTAGAAATAGGTTACTATGCTAAATATGGTTATCATCTGAATATTCTAGTAACTATTTGATTTGTGCTGCTACAATTCCATTTTTTTCCCCTTCAAATCACATTCCACTTTTCTGATTTCAATTGAATCTGCAGCTCTGGAGAAGCTATTAGAAAATTACGCTGGAAAATATGCCACGGGGAATGAAGTTTTCCTGGTTCGTTTCTTTCCTCGTACATAATTTGCTTATTATTGTTGCATGTTGTCATGCTTGAATTAAAAATTGCAACTTCTCAGGTTAATGATCTGGCCAGGTCCAAATTTGTACCAATTACTGATGATGAATCCAAGTTTGTAAATGTTACTGTATTTTATCCTCAAACATCCTAAAATACTAGGCCATGAGCAAATGTAAATTAGTCTAATTTAACAACTTATAAATAACCTAATTATGATAAAATTGCAGTATCATAGTATTTTTGAGGTTTTTTTATTCATGGGCTATAAACTTGCAGGCTGATTTGTTTCTGGCACCCCAGATTGATGGTGCAGTCAGAAGATTCAATGTTGACATGGTAGGCCCTTCATTGAAATCCTATCATATATATAAGGAACTTTATACTTCTTGAAGTAATCATGCAATTAAAACACTTTAAAAATTCCATTTACTTAGAGAAATTTTGATCAGTTGTATGCCATTTATCTGCTTTTCTTTCAAGTTCATCAAATTGAATGGTCCCCAGGTTCGTGCAGCACTGTTTCATGTTCATAGAGTTATCATAAAACAAAAGCTATAATTCAGTCAGCTTCCTTTTGGGGGGAGTGAATTTTTCCTAATTAGGCTTTCAGTCTTTTCATCTGCATCATATATTTTGTGGATTTTTGACAACTACAATTTCAGTATACATGTTTCTTTTCTGAAGGACTGCACGGTAGACCTGTTTTACCTTGCCTCATTGCATTTAATTCTAAATGTAGGTGCATTTATCAACATATCTGTATATGTATGTGATAATTTACCATCGATAAGTTGAACCTCAATATGTGGGCAGAGTGAATATCCTATCCTATCGAGGATTAACGAGGCGTACAAAGAACTCCCTGCTTTTCAAGATGCTATGCCAGGAAAGCAACCTGATACACCACCAGAGGCTAGAGCCTGAGGTAAAACATTAGCGTAAATACATTTATCACGTTCTTTACCTTCAGCGACCATCATGTTTTGATTAATTAACTAATTATAAGATATTCAATTCTAGTGAAACAGATCCCATCCTTTTACTCATTTCATTTTTCTTATTATAATAGCTTATCATTTAGCATTACTTTTCTTGTTCTTAATATCTCGAAAGACTTGCTCTTCTGATTCTTTTTTTGTTGGAAACCAGCATTTAGCTGTGTCAGGATTCTAGAATGGAGCACAATTTCACTAAGCTGGGAGAGTAGAAAGAGTGACCAGAAGGAAAGAAATAATCCATAATATATTGGTCATTAGTAATTCACACTCACTTATGGTGCTATTGGTGTGTTATTTAAGTGCTGAAAGATGCTTTATTTAAAATATATGTTACTGTTTAGTTTCATGAATAAGATGCATTATCCTATATACATCATGTGGTTTCAGAATGAAAAGTTGTATGCTATAGTGCTTTATAACGAAGTCAACTGGCATATATCGTGGAGATTCAAGCAAACTAAGAAATACAAATTGCTAGCAAGTTTTCAACGAATGGAAGATTTAACCATTTGTCGATGTCCGAAAGTGGCAATATATGGTTAGAACTATAACCATTAAACAACCAAAGTACTGTAAGAACTCTCGATTTTTTGGCCTAGTTTATTGAACATTTTCTGGCGATGTAACATATCATTGACAATAATGAACAACAGTATGATCCCGAATTCACTAGATTTTCAATGACTCAAGTTTGGAATTCATATCTGCACCATATAGATGTGAACATAAACAAATCAAATCACATTGATGAAGGCAACTTTCTTGAGTGATGACCATTGATTGATGCTACTTTATTTCGGAAAGTTTGATATCGGTAAAATGGTAGTTGCAAGGAGAAAATGTTAGACAGATTATCAATGGAGATTTCCTGATTTGTCATTTTCAAGAGATATAAACATCATTTACAGATATAAGGGAGGAAATTGATTGATCATAAATATACCCTCAACAACATTTTCAAACATGAAACATAACAACCTCAAAAAAGATTACTAAGAGAAAAATGACAAATATCACACCAAATTTTGTTTACAGTATATAAATAATAGGTATGGACTGATACAAAAGAGCATAAATCATACTTCCCTTTGTTTTTATTACTAAATAGTTTCCAATGGTACCTTAATCCTCTTATTATTTCCATTTCTTTTTGGCCTCATATTAGCAGCAGTAATAAGTTTATAACCAGAAGGGGGCATCTCACTTAGCTTGCCAAACCATTCCTCATAAAACTGCCACACTTCTGACCTGTTCAAAAGAAAGCCCGGCTAGAAAACTTAAACCCGAGTCCAAACTGTGGAAGAAGAGGCTTGAAACAGAGAAATTTAAAACAACTTACCAATAAGCTAGAAACTGAAATTGTGCGTATTTCCCATAAATCACTTCAACATCTCTTTGAACTGTCCGAATTTTTGAGCTTTTGGCATGAACCTAAATTATATACAGAGGACTAAAAGCAGATCTTAGGAAGATGCGAATGAATGAACTAGATGGTAAAAGGTTGATTTCATAGAAAGGAAATAGACCTGTTCTAGATGCCTAATAGTTTCTGAATCAGTTGGAATGACATGGTAAAATCCCATGCACATCAGAACATTAGCACAAGTAAACGATCCAAATCCATCTATAACTTTCAGCTTTTCTCTGCCAACTTATCATACTCAGGCAAGCTTAGAGTACCCACGACATCTTCAAGTTCTCTTAGTTGAATCCTACCCTCAACTATTTCTCGAGCACGCTTCAAAATACGACCTGCTCTATAGCCTAGATGGCACCGTTTTGCTAAAAGCTCCTCGTTAAGGGTAGCCAGTTCTCTTGGGCTCGGGAAATTTCCAATTTTAGTGCAGGAGGAAACTCCTTTTCCTTCTAAATGCTGAAAATCAGGAGAACAACAGCAATCAGCTTTATAACAATAGGATGTTTGATACTAATCACGATGCTTAAAAAATCCTTATTAAATCCTCTTTTTGGCTAGGCTTAAAAATAAATAAAACTAACTCTATGCTTATCTTTTTTTTTTTTTTTTTTTAAACTAAACATAATCTTAGAAGTTACTTTTTATTAACAAAAAAAATTTGCTTCTCAGAAGAGTAGTGTTTAAGCTTAACCAAACATGCACTAAGATTCCATGTTACCTGGAAACGGTCTAGCGTTTGAACACAACTTTCTTCCAAGTTAGCATTTTCTTCCATTGCTTTAACACAACTTTCTTCCAAGTTAGCATTTTCTTCCGTTGCTTTAACTTCTGCATAACTGTTCGCTAAATTAATTGAACATTTGTGAACTCCAGGGTCTTTCTTCAACTCTTTCCCTGCAGGTGTTTTCGGAACGAACTGATTGTTTTCAACTGTTTGACACCCGGAAATAGTTTCATTAGCAGTGTTCACAAGAGAATCATTAGACAAGGGAAGCTGTAGTTCCAACTGAGGTTCACAAAGTGCTTTAGCCATACTCAATGTCCTTGACCACCTGTAGAAGAGAAGCTCAACTAATACAAAAGTAGAGTAAATACTTTCTATTAACTTCTTACTTAGACTTCTACATTTGACACCAATTTTCAGAGGGACGATCATTGCAGATCATTACTAAATGACAATCATTGCAGATCATTACTAAATAGCTGTAATTTTTTATTAAATATTTAATTTTAAAAAATTAAATATATCTAAATATTTACTTTAAAATGTTGAAATTAATATTTTATTATCTATAAGTAGCTTTTACAATTATAAATTTTTTTTATTCCTTTTAAATAACTTGAAGTGAATTTTTTACTTATAAGTAATTTTCTACATTCTAGATAGTGTAATCTTTTTATTGATATTTAAAAAAGATAAATATATCTAAATATTTATTTAAAAATCTATGCACAGAATGAATATTCATTCCGTGCATGGAGCAAAAAAAAAAATTTACGTTTTGAAATTTTTTTCTTATTTATTCATTTTATAATTTATTTTGTAATTTGTTGTTTTGATATTATAGTTAATTTTTTTCTATTTAAAATTTTTATGAATTCTTTTCTCTTTATTTATGATTGAACTTAATTTTTCAATTATTTTTTTCTCTTCGTGAAAGGAGAACTTTTTTCTATTTAAAATTTTTTCAATATTAATTTTTTTATATTTAAAATTTTTTCAATTTTTTTCTATTGGTGAAGAAGAAAATTATTGTTTTTTTTTTTTTGCACAAAGTTGGACTGTTCATTTTTTTTCATATACGTTTTCACATTCAACTGATTTAAAATAGATTTGGTCAAAGCAGTTTGATTTTTTTATTATATTATAAAAAATATATAAAGTAATCTATCATTTATCACTCTTTCAAGTCATTCATTCTCCCTTCTTCAATTCAACCGATTAGCTTTCATGTACGAAGAAAACTCTCCAAATTCTTGTTTCTTTTTGTGGGAAAAAAAATTGCTTAGTCCTCATCTCAATCGTAGGGAAGAAAATCGTAGAATTTGTGACGATTTTCTTTGGATATGTTCTTGCAAATTTTTATTTTTTTTTTGTTTGTATTTTTTTCTTAGTTTTTTAAGATTTATTTAAGGTATGTAGTTTTTATTTCTGTGTCTAGATGAAAATATATCTTGGATCATCTTCCTCTACCTAGATGTGAGGTATATTCTTGTCTTTGTATATACGTGAAAATCTAATTGAAGTTTTATTTTATTTTTTCTTGGATATGGCTATGAAATTTATGTTTTTGTTTGATGTTTGTTTTCTTGTGGATTTATTTCTTATTTTCTTCGGCCTTATTTAATGTAAAAAGTTAGCTAGGTCTTTCTTTTTTTACCCTTATATACTTGAGAAGTTTAAAATTTTCAATCATTTTTTTATATTTAAGAAGGCTTACAAGAGTTTGCTTTGGGTATGTTTGGAATTTGTTTCCTCCAATTAGTAGTATTTACAGTTCTATTGTTGTGTTGCATTTGTAAAGAAGATTGTGATTTATTCAGTAGCTAAAAGACGCATGTATCATCCATTTTTAGTTCCTTTAAGAAGAGAAAATGTGTCCAACCTATAAAGAGAAAAAAAAAATCCAACCAAAAAAAAAAAAAAAAAAAAAAAAAAAAGAAATTTATAGTATGAACAAAACAAACTTAAAAAAAAATTATATAATTAAACAAAAAATTTAAACAAATTAGAGTTACAAAAATGAAACAAATAATATATTAATTATTTAATTAAAATTGAAAAAAAATTATCATAAAGAGAAAAATATTAAAAAAAATTTTAATCCAAAACAAAAAAATTATAATATGAATAAAACGAATTTAAATAAAAAATAAGAAAAAAAACTCTCTGTGAACGGAGAGATTGTCTCTCCTTTCAATGGATGAAAATTTATTTTTTTATTTATTTAAATTTTTTATTTTTTTGTTTATATTATAGATATTTTTTTCTATTTAAATTATTTTCTCATTGAACATAGTTTCTCTCCTTCAAATGACAAATTTTTTCTATTTCTTTTTTCAATATAAAATTATTTCAATTTTTCTACTGGTGGAAATTACTGATTAATTTATTTTTTAATTTTTTTGTTCGTATTATAGATAAATTTTTCTATTTAAAATTATTTTAAATTATTTTCTCTTTATGATTGAACTTAATTTTTTTAATTACTGTTTTTCTCTCCTTCAATCTATTCAAAATTTTTTCAATATAAATCTGTTTGGTTTAAAATTATTTCAATTTTTTTCTACTGGTGGAAATTACTGTTTTTCTTTGCACAAAGTTAAACTATTCATTTTTGTCATTACTATATTGAATCATTCAATTTCAAAATTAATATCACAAATAGCTTACGTCAAATAATTATTTTTATAACTAATTGAATCGCTTCTTCTTTAAATACTAAACTCATATCAACATTAAAAACGCTAATATGAAATTCAAAATAATCATGTCCGCGCATTGCACGGGCGATAGACTAGTCTATGTAAGAAATGAGAACTTAGTCTCTCTCTCTCCCTCCCTCCCTCTCTCTCTCTCTCTCTCTTATTTTTATTCCTATTATTATTATTTTTTTTTATTTTATTTTTTTGATATATATTTCCAGTGAAAGGATTGTAATGCAAAGAGGTGGACAAGTCTATTGTGTCATTATTATGTACTTATGAACCTATTTCTTCAACGTCATCACTATCTATACTAGTCTTTGACATGTACATTGCACGAATTTTGTATTTATTGTATTTTTATTAGCGTCAAAATTGTAGATTTTTTAAAATTGGTTGAAGATTCGAAGTATTTGATAAAGTCTAATCGTTTGGTTCATTACATTAACGCAGGAAGCATGGAATTACATAATCTATCAAATATAATTTTTAAAATTAATTTTTATAAAATAATATATTTTTATGATTTTTTTTTTGAAAGGTGAAATATAATAGTATTAAAAAAATATAAAATAATTAAATTTTTATTAATTTTAAAAAATAAAATATTATGGAGGCTCATGCTTGAGCCTCAAGAATTATGGATGGCCTCCATAATTATGGAGGCCTCATGTTGAGGCCGCCGTTATTACGGAAGCCAACATGTAATTCTGGAGGCCTCAACACGAGCCTCTATTTAACGGAGGCTCATGTGTGCTTGAGCTTCCGTAATTACGGAGGCCTCAACGTACATTTTTTTACTTTCTTTTTTTTCATTGGCTCTCAGTACAATAATTTAATTTCATTTAATCAATTTAATTTTTTTAATATTCTTAAAATAAAAATACATAAAATAATGGAGGCTTACTCTTTCTCCATTTTTACACGCTACAATCATGCTTCTCTATTTCTCCACACTATCTCTTTCACCATTTTCTCACGCCATCAATCATGTATCTTTATAAAGTTTATTTTTGAACACATAAGTAAGTTTAAATAAAAACATTATTTTTATATATACACGTAAAAGGTATATAATAACCATTTGGATGACCAAAAAATAATATCAATCAAAATGTATACGAACCGTTTAAATAATAATTTATTGAAGGGGTTAACTCAAGAGCAAAAGTGTGAATTCCATAAATATATGATTAAAAATATATTTGAAGAAAAATAAATTTTAAAAAATAAAGACCGAACATATTAACAAATGAATATATTTATTTTCTGATAAATGAGTTTTTATTACCATTTCATTTTTATCATGAAATGATTCTAATTTTAATATGTTAGATTGTACTTCAAAATTACATAATCTATCAAATATAATTTTTAAAATTAATTTTTACAAAGTAATATGTTTTTATGATTTTTTTTTTGAAGGTGAAATATAATAGTACTAAAAAATATAAAATAATTAAATTTTTATTAATTTTAAAAAATAAAATGTTATGGAGGCTCAACATGGAGGCCTCGGAGGCTCATGCTTGAACCTCCATAATATTACTTTACTAAAAAAAAAAAATTCATATAAACATATTACTTTATAAAAATTAATTTTTAAAATTATATTTGATAGATTATGTAATTGTGAAACACAATCTAATATATTAAGATTAGAATCATTTCACGATAAAAATGAAATCGCAATAAAAACTTATTTTTCGAAAAATAAATATATTCATTTGTTAACATGTTTGGTCTTCATTTTTTAAAATTTATTTTTCTTTAAACATATTTTCAATCATATATTTATGGAATTCACACTTTTGCTCTTGAATTAGTGTGGAGAAATAAAGAGGCATGACTGTAGCATGTAAAAATGGAGAAAGGGTAAATAGGGCTCTATGACATAATCCTCCACACCGCGTAAATTGAGAAAAAGCAACAAAGTCACTGTATCAAACACGTAAGATAAACGACGTAGTTACTTTCTCTCAATAAAAAAAAAGCTACGGTGAGACAAAATAGAAGAATCTACTGTTCTTTCTACAGTAGTGAAACATTATCCTTTTTATATAGTAGTGATGTATATGTGAGAAGCGAGAACTTAGGTTTTTTTTTTTCTTTGAAATAATTGTAATATGAAGTGGTGGACTATTTTTAGTTTGTGTCATTATTATGTACTTACGAATCTATTTCTTCAACATCATCACTATCTATATGTCTATGTGAGAAGTGAGAACCTAGTGTTTTTCCCCCTATATTTTACGTTGAAATAATTGTAATATGAAGTGGTGGACCAGTCTATTGTTAGTTTATGTGTCAACATTATATATATATATATATATATATATATATAATTGTAAAAGAGGTGAATCACTTTGATAAGTGCATTTTACACTCTTATTCAGTTCACAAAACATGACTAATTGTTGATTATAATTTTGTTTTGTAAAACTCTATTGACGGATATGGTGGAACTCAAGAGAAAATAAAAAAAAGGGGGGAATCCAAAGTATGATAACTAAATTGCAACATTTTAATAATTGATTTGGACCACAAAATGAAAATTAAAGGCGTTGCGGGTTCAATTGGATGCAATTAAAAGTCAAATGGTTGAAAATGCAATAGAAAGGACTTGAAAAAATCAAGAATCGAATTCGGAGGCTAAAATGCAACATTCGAGAGTTTGTATAACTGAGCAACCACCCAGTTGTTTAGAGTGGTCGATTGCCCAATGTTAAAAAATAATTAACGAGAAGAAAACTTTGAACCGGGGGTCGACCAGG